TTCTTGAGTTACAGAAGCAAGATTCAAAAGACCTGAGAAGCTAATAAGTATAATAATGTACTAGCCATTCCAACACAATGCTATACGTGATAGAATCTGGGGGAAATGCTTTAAGAAGCAAAGGTTTTTTACCAGGGCCCTTCCTTTCCCCCAACAACAAAGCAGGGAACGGTGTGTTGGAATAATGACTTGAGGGTCTTGAGGTTCTGAGGCCCACGTGGCATATCTGAGCTGGTCAGCAGGTGCAGGTTTTAGACTCTGAACATTGTTGAAAGCTGTCCCACGCGAGACAGAGGAGAGAGACTATGCTTCCTCAGAGCACGTGTGGGGCAGAGTGGCTCCGGGTGTGGTGGCGCACGCCTTTTATCCCAGCACTTGGGAGGCAAAGGCAGGAGGACCTCTGTGAGTTCGAGGACAGCCTGGTCTAAAGAGCGAGTTCCAGTACAGCCAGGACTACACAGAGAAACCCTGTCTCGGAGGGTGCATGTGTGAAAAGCTGGGAGGAGTATCTGTGCCACAGGAATGGGTTTTGCTGCCAAAACCATTAACAGCTTCTCACGCCTCATTCTAGGAACACAGTTCTCAGATTGAAGAACCCACAGGGACAGAGTCAGACCACACTTGAAGTCTGGGCTCAGCTCCGGAGAGACAAGGCCCCTGTCTGACTGGTTAGCCCACTAAGATCCACTTGGGAATCTGCTGTGTAGAAAAATGAGACAAGAGAAGAGGTAGCCTCTAAGGGGCAGGCACTCTGGAGGGGCAATGTCAGATTTGCCTGGAATTCACCATGTGGGGACCTGCTCACAGCTTCCTAAACATTTGCTGAGCCAACTAATTGGGGCAAAGAAATGTTTAAAGAGCTTTCCACAAAGGAGTGAATCCCTGCTGTGTCTGCCAGCCCAGGCCTTTCATGCTAGCACTTGGGAAGCTAAGGCATGAAGGAAGATCATGAGTTCTAGCCCAGGCCAGGGGAGTTTCCCATTGGTGGAAGTACAGCAGACACCACCTCTTGCTGATGGTGTTCTGGAAGAGATTTGTGAGTACAACTGTGACTTGGGTTTTGTTCCATCAGATCCTTCATTCAACTTTTATTAGTGTCTTCCAAAGGAAAAGGAGGCAAGAGGAACTAAAATCGAGACAGGGCGGAGAAGCCAAGGGTGAGTGGATGATGCCAGGGCTCTTAACACCCTGGAGCTGCTTCCCCCTCCCGCTTCAGGTGACAGGACTACTATACTACCTATACTCACTCTACTGTACTACAATGGGTACCTTGGGTATCCATTCACTACAGTGTTCCTAGAGTCTGTCTGCACTGGATGTTTGCCTTTTTAGCATTTTGTCCCTAACACACATTGCTTTGTAAGCAGGAACTGTCAATGAGCATTTGTTGGATAGATGAGTGGATGGGTATGTGGGTGTGTGGATAGATAGATAGATAGATAGATAGATAGATAGATAGATAGATAGGTGGGTGGGTGGAAGGAAGGGTGGGTGGATGGGTAGGTGGGTGGGTGGATAGATGGGTACATGGGTATGTGGGGTGTGGATAGATGAGTGGATGGGTGGGTGGATGGATAAATGGGTGGGTGGATGGATAGATGGGTGGGTTGGTGGGTGGATAGATGGGTGCATGTGTAGGTGGGTGGGTGGGTGGGTGAATGGATAGATGGGTGGGTTGGTGGGTGGATAGATGGGTGGATGGATGCTGCACTTTTGAGGTTATTTTGGAGCTGTGTTTTACAGGCTGGCACATATCTCATGAAATATTTTTAGGTAGAGTTTGTGCGTTGTTCCTTTCATTGGAAGGAAGCCAGACAGTCAGGGAGGTGGAGCCAAGCTGGAGAAGCGAAAAGGACCCTGTGGGTTCCGCTAATGTCTGGGATACTGCGCCTGGAGCTGAGACATCAGGTCACATTTACTTCGTTCTGTAAACAGCTTGTGGGCTGCATACAAAATGAACTAACTCTCCAAACAAACACCAAAGCGTCTCTCCATTTCTTCTTTCCATGTGTTGCTTCTTTCCATGCTTTAGGGGGAGGGACACTGAAATCCCATGAGCCTCTGTCTCTGAGATTCTGGCCTTCGTGTACTTTCTTTTATTCAGTTTGACCTCTGCAGTTTAGACAAATTGCATAGCACTCTCCTACTTGTGTAAATGTTTTAGTGAAAGACTTGTAAGTACAAGAAGGGGTTTTACTGATGCCAGACCCCCCATTTTCTTCCAGCTCCTGCAGCCAGAACAGTGCCCGTATGTATCAGGAGTTCAGAGCCATCTTAGAGTGAACAAAATGTTTACTGTTCTGCCTCGATGACAGACATCATGTCATGAGCAAGCCAATCACATTACTTGCCAACCCACCGACACTCCTGGCTTTGAGCGGGATTCTGAGCTCACAAAGAAACACAAAGGAAAAGCTAATCAGCAGTGGCAACTGAATGAATTGGGATTAAAAATCAGTGCTGAAAACAGGGTGTGCTGCTGCCTGAATTTCATTCCAGCACTGGAGAGGTGGAGGCACAGTTCAAGGCCATCCTTAGCTACCTAGGGAGTTCAAGGCCAGCCTGCTACACAGGAAACTTTGCCTCAATAACAAAGCAACAACAGAAAGCAAAACCAGTGCTGCCAGACTCCTGAGCCGGGGAGTCTTAGTGAATTTCAGACAGACTCATCAAACCCTAGGCACGTCCTGCAGCCAGCCAACCCTTTCTTCTGGTCACTCTTGCTTCCAGGCCTCTGACAACCTGCCCCCACTGCCTCTAAGAAGGAAAGAGCAAGCAGCAGCTGGATGACTGGTGGACAACAGGGTAGACAAACGGTGGAGGATGATGCCCATCAGAATCGATGGACAGATAGGGATGGCTCATCCCTCCCTCACCCACAGCTTCAGCCTTCCCCTTTCTGTTTGTCTGCATGTCCTGAGAACTCAGGTCAGCCTAAAGTTTTTCTCATCGGTCCTGCCCCAGCCAGGATGACAAGCACCCCGAAGCCTTGCATTTGGAGCATATTCTGGGCTCCAGCCTTTGCCCAGACTTCATTAATTCAGGAAGATGATACCCCAGGCAGTGGAAAGACAGCGAATGCGCAAAACTCCTTAATTGTGGGTTTCCTTCCGATGTCTGCTCCCTTAATATGTTTGGAAACTATTTTATGTAAATTATATTCCTTGAGAGGAATGTTCCTAGATCTGGGAGAAAAAAAGTAGGTCAGACAGGGAGGTTGGCTACCTCTTGCTCAGGAGGCAGTCCTGGTACCTGATGAGATTTTCTGTTCTGAACCAAATCCTAGAATATTCCAGGTCTGAGTGTGAGGTCCCAGGATGGCCCACAAGCACACAATGGGGAGGCAGAAATCTTGACACTGAAGGTAACCCTGGAGCAGGAAGTGTGCACAGGGCCTGAAGGAGTCTGGTGTGGGATAGGTGGTTGCTATGGACACGAGGGTGGTATGGAAGCAAGGGGGATACTGACTGAGCAGCAGGCACAACTGGGTGAGCACCACCCAGGAAGCTCCTGCCACCCAGGGGTCTAGAGGAGAGACCTCAGTTCCTGTAGCTCCTCTACGTTTCTTCCTGGATGACCCACGGATGCTGTCCTCACTGCTCTTCCCGAGGTGCCCTTTAGACCTGGTTGCCGAGCTATCCATTTTCTGGTTTTGATCTCTCACTTCTGTGTAACTTTAAGTGAGTGTCTTAACCACTCTGTATCTCAGTTTCCCACACCTATAACACAGGAAGGACAAGAATGCCTACAGTATGGAAATGGCAGTTTGCGTTCCATCAAATGCTGAGATCTGTGTTTGCAGCCTGGTAAGTAAGGGTTGACTACCACCCTCATTACCATCTTTCAGCCTATTTGCCGGAGGGAAAGAACTTTGCACTGTACCCTCACCCTCCCTGGTTCCTACACTCCCCAATTGTTGGGAGCTATGAACCCCCAGATTCTGAATTCCTTGTGAACAATGTGTTATGCTTGCAGCTGATCTGAGCACAAGACCCTCAGGAGTTCCTGATGGCAGGGGATTGTTTTCTGATGGGTTTGGCTGGGGCATGGCTATCAGTTAAGGATCCCTATATAAGCTGCCCAGGAACACAATAAAGGGGGCATTCCTGTTTCAAGGATGACCCGTGTCTCTGTCTGTCTGTGAGTCTTTGTGTGTTTCAATCTACAGCCCCTTGCCCAGTTCACGAACAGTATGGTAGCACATAGAGCACAGACAGGCATGGTACGCTACACCCAATAACAGGACAAATACAAGACAAACTGGGAGGAAGGAAGTGCAATGTCACAGATAGAAGGGGATGAAAGACCAGGCTGTGGCTGGCTTGTGGGGCAGAGAAAAGTTCACTACATCCTTCCGGAAACCATAGAAGCAGACAAAGGATAACACTAGGGAATGCAGGACCCCCAAGAGCTTCTGGGGTGAGTAGACCAAGGAGAAAAGGTAAGACTAAGGCTGAGAAGTGCTGTCTGCAGGCTGAAGGTCCTGCTGGCTGCTGAGTGCTGGAGAAGGTGGGTTCTATAGTCATGGCTAATTCTTGAGTGTCTGGCCTTCTCCTTTGTTGGCCCCCTGCAGGGATGAACCTTAAGAAAAGGAATGCGCTCACTTTCTAACTGTTGGGTTTGAAAGCCATCATTTGTGGGTCCTTCTCTGGCAGGAGCATACAGTGTGTTGTGTGTGCTTGTGCGGGGCTAGTGTCGCTCGGACTCATCTGTGACAGCAAGTGCCTGGTGCATCTCCGGGAAGCAGCTGACATGCGAAGATTTTCTGATGACAGTGAGACACTTTATAACTTAAATAATAAATGGGGGGCCTTGCACAAAACAATATGGGCCCATAGAGAATGCATGTTATCAGCCAGTATAGGAGCTCTTCCTTAAAAACCCTCTTGGAGTGAGAGCTGTTCATTTTCAAGCTGATTTTACAATAGAAACACGACCCACCGTGGGCTACTTGTTGGGTAGGTAGATAGAAAACTCTTCCCCAGGAAGCTCATAGCTGCTGCAATTTGCCTGCCTTTTGGAAGAACAATTATGGAAGTTGGCAGCTCACTCAAAAGCTTCTTAAATGATGGCTAGAAAGTTGCTTTCCCATGAGGCCTTGGGTACCCAGAATCAGATTGTCCACAACCTCTTCAGTCCTGCTGTGCTGGCCTGCCCCGAGCCTGCAAAGCAAAGTGAAGCCGAGTAATAACCGAGACCTAAAAATATATCAACTAAATTGTGTGTTGTGAGGAAATTCCAAGCTTTATTAAATGCACTTTTGGTGAAAGAGGCCCTACAGAGAATTTCTTAATAAATTTCAAAGAGAGATGTTGGTCACTGGAGGAGCCTACATAAGCAACCGTGGCATCTGTGGAATGTCAAGCTGCAGATGGCCTGAGGCAATGATCTGGCTAGCGCCACAGTTGGTCTCCTTAGGGTGGCTCAAGGGCTCCGACTGTAGAGCTGGCTCAAACAGGCCCAAGCAGAAGGTCCCAGAAGTATCAAGGATGCCTCAGCTTAGAGCGAGCACTGAGAGCAAAGCCTTTCCATGGGCCGCCAGGCTGCAACCAGAAGAGCCAGAAGAGACACTGCCCTATTTCAAACACCTTGGTAACTCATTCCAAAGCCCAACAACACCCACGTTCAGGAAATTCTTCTTAATGTTTAGCCTAAATCCTTCATGCTTCAGTGTAAACTCATTACCTCTCACTGTGTTTAGAGCAGAAATGGGGAACAGCTGTTCTCTCCCACTGGCTCAAACATTCGAGCTCTTTCATTCCATCCATCCCCCAAATCTTCTGCTCTCCAGAATAACACTCCAAAGCCGAGAACATTCTCCATGACTTACCCAGACTGCAGAGGCTGAGCATGCCCCCAAGGGCTTCCTTTAACTCCAGACATTGACCCAAGGGGCTGTGTCAGTCTTCTGTCTTGAGCGCCACCCATTGGTTGGGGGAGATGGAGGCCTGGCAGTAACACCCCTCACCTACAACTATAAAGTCCCCTGCTTTAGTTTCGGCCCATGGCTCTGACATTGATCTCTGGGACTTGAGAACTCACCTGGGAGTTGCTTTGCTCAAATAAACCTGTTGTTATACTTTTTCAATTTGGCTTGAACTGGCTTATTGTGTTGCTGGATAAACTTATTATGGTGGTGGTGGGGGGCGCACAGAAAACTTATTAATCTGTAGTGGATGTGTTAAAAAGGCCAGAGGGGCTTTTCCTTGTACAGACTGCTCTCATATCTGACTCTGAACTCACTTGGGATTCTGCAGAATCCCCAGCAGCAAGAAGACTATCATCTGAGGTGGCCAATTGACCTTGGACCTCCAAGCACCCAGAACTGTGAGAATTGTGATAGGAAGTTTTAAATGTGAACTTGCTATAACCTAGAATCTCCAGGGACCGAGAGCCTGAATGGGGACTAACTAGATCAGGTTGGCCTATGGGAATCCTATAGATTACTTTGATTGTCTTAGTTGATGGAGAAAGTCTCAGCCCATTGTAGATGGCATCATCTCACAGGTTGGGCCTTGAACTGTGTAAGAGAGAAGAAAGCAGCAAGCAGGCAGACATATGAGGGCATTTGTTCCTCTCTTTTCTTGTCTGTGGATGTGACATGAGCCTCCACGATAAACCAAGACCTAGAATTGTAAGCCAAATAAATCTTTCCCTCCCCCAAGTTGCTTTTGGTCAGGATAATTTGTTAGAGCAACAAAAACAAAACTGAGATAATAATAAACCTTTATCTTTATAAATTACTCTCAGGTATTCTATTATAGCAACAGAAACGGGCCCAACAGATGCTCCATGATCACATTTAATGGTAATTACTTTTGTATGCATTTTCTATTAGTTCTTGACCTGTTCCAGTGTAGAAACGTAAGCTTTGTTTCATATTTTCTGAACCCAGTGCAATGCTATATCTTAGATAGACAATGGAACCATTTTGAACGTCCCACTAACTGGATGTAGGGATAATTATATGGGTTGTACAGGGGCGCACACAACATACACACATACTTACTAAGTATTTAAGTTCCAAAATTAAAATGTTTTCAGAGATATAAACAAGTCTCTGTGTAAAGACAACACTAGCCAGCCCTACTTCTAAGCACACAGCTGACTCCCAAGCATTCAACAATCAGGCCATGAAGAAACCCACTAGCTTGGCATGTGACCTTGGACAAGTCACTGTGCCCTCATCTAAGAGATGAAGAGTGTTGGTCTTGCTAATATTTAAGACCTTTCCAGTCCTAGGTTTCCATAATTCTGTGGCTATCCATAGACTTATCTAAATAATCACAAAAACTACTTCATGCTAGAGAAACACAGTCATAATAAACTAAAGCAAAACCAACTGCCCTTCAGTATCCTGTTGTGAACTATAAAATGTCCCTAAAATCACATTTTCCCCTTGAAACAGGATGTAGGAAAAATATTTTCCTATTAAATCCTTTTAAAGTGCAAGGGAAAGCATTCATTCTGTGACTCGCCATCCAACTCAATAAAAAGGAGAGAACTCTGCTGTCTTAATTACGGAGGACAATGTCAGAAGGCAGAGGGCAGAAACTCAAGCGGGAAACCTCGCTGCCACGCCGGCCCCACAATGTGCGAGTTTTCTGGGGGGATTCTTCAAGGGTGTCTTGAGCAGTTTATTCTGCTATTATGTCAGGGGAACCAGTAAATGCGTTTTTATGAGGTGATTTATGAAAATCCTGGGGTGGAGAAAGCAAGAGCTAGGAAGAGGTCACACCAACTTCCAAGCCTGTGGGGACAAGGAGAGGGGGATTTCAGTTGCAGCGACTTGATTATGTTGTCGTTGGGAGTTATGTCCTCTGACACGGAGCAAGCAAAGCAGGATTTGGACCTAAAGAGAGAGAGAGAGAGAGAGAGAGAGAGAGAGAGAGAGAGAGAGAGAGAGAGAGAGAGAGAAAAGACCAGAAACTTCAGGAGAATGTTACCTTGTACTTTAGGCATCTTAAAGTTTCTAGATTAGGCCTCTGAGGACAGAGGTACTTGTTTCCTTATTTCTATAGAAACTGGAGCATGGGAATGGGAGGGGCAGATGGAGATGCTTTCAAATTGTATTATAAAGACAGTGTACTGCACATAGTACATAGGAAACAACACGGGTATGCTTCAATGGCTCATCATGCACACACTTACTAAGTTAGTTTGTTCTGTGCTAACCTCCTCCCTCCCAGCCCAGATGCCCCTAAAGGAGCACAAGGCCAACACTGGCAGAAACTAGCAGACTCGGCATTTCTACCAGTGCCCAATCCCAGACACTCACTGAGGGATGGGGCAAGGAATGATAATGAGATAGAGACATTGAGACTGTCAGGCTGGGTGGTGGCACACACATTTAACCCCAGCACTCAGGAGGCAGAGGCAGGCAGATCTTTGTGAGTTTGAGACCAGCCTGGTCTACACAGCTAGTTAGGAAAGTCAGGGCTACACAGAGAAACCATGTCTTGAAAAACTAAGAGAGGCAAGAGAGAGAGAGAGAGAGAGAGAGAGAGAGAGAGAGAGAGAGAGAGAGAGAGAGAGAGAGAGAGAGACATAGCATAGCTGTCCAGCCCACAGAAGGGTGCATGTCAATATACAGATTAATAATGCTTTTCTTTCCCTGATTCTGCTCCTTTGAGCAGGAGATGAGAAAGGGAAACACTTTCAAGGTGGCAATCTGCCATCTGATCTGAATAAAGGACATTTTTGAAGATTCAATTCCACCTCTGCTCACTGACATCTGTAAGTGGCAGGCAGCAGAGTTCTGGTATCGCACTAGCGGGACAGAGAGCAGGCCCACAAATTCTGTTTAAGGAAGAAAAAAGAATAGATGGATTTATGCTCACCTGGGAAGACACGAGTGGGTTCTTCCAGCAGATGATCATTCCCCCATTTCTGTTGCAGCAGAATCAGGGCACTCCCAAAGATGTCTGAGTCCCACTTTGCAACTATCTGAACATGTGAAATTAAGGCTGCTGACCAACAAGAGTCTTGGTAGTCTTTCTGTTACTATAACAAACATCTGATACAATCATCTTAGAGAGGGAAAGAGGAAGAGATTGGTATTCTCTTTAAAAGCACAACACTAGTAACCTGTACACCTCCCACCAGAGCCCTTTACACTCCCTCCCAACGGTGCCAAACTGGAGGCTAAGCCCTTACTTTAATGGAACTTTAGAAAAAAAATCATCAGAATGTACTCTTTTCAAGGCCAAAGCAAAAAGTTCCAAGCCAAGTTGTTTAGAAGTGGTGTTCTAACCAGATCCCACAGATTTGAAAATGAGAACCCATGGGTGCTGCTCCACAACCAGATGGCAACTTCCAGAAAGGGTGAAGAATGTTTAGGGATGGTGCTTGCTCAGGGAACTCATGGTGGAAGGCAGTGCTCCTGCATTTTCAGGGAGAGCTTGGGGAAATATCTGCCCAACCAAACAGCTGGTGATTTAGTTGGGATTCAAACCCAAGTCCTTCTGTCTCTGGTGCTTTGTGTGGGTTTCCCCTTCCAGTTAGTCATCCTCTGGCAATTGTTTCATGGTTAGCTATTAACATCTCAAGCCTCCTGCTGTTCAGAGAGAAGAAAACCAAGTATGTGATCCTATGGTTGCTGGCCAGCCCAACCCCAGTGTCTGGAGACCGCAGGCTCAACAGAGGATGAACATGAGGCCCACCTCCACTATAGCTTTCTCTGCTTTTACAGATTCATCCAGAAAACTTGGAGGCTCATCCCCACCTCTCTACTCACACCAAATTGCACCAAACACATGGCTCTTACAAGGCATGACACACACACACACTAAAATATTTTATGGAGCTCAGTGTCCCTCCTATATAAAACCCTTTCCCACTTATCTACTTTCTAATTTCCTGGATCCCTCCAAGATTCTGGCTTTCTCTTCTTTTCCCTAATTCAACTCCTCCACTTTGTTATGCAAGGCAATTTAATTCTCCTTCCATTTACTCTGCCCCAGGCTTACCTTTGCATAGCCAAAGACTCATTAATGTCTCCATAAAACAAAGCACCATTTATGTAAGATGCAAAGGCAGAATCATTGGCACAGCTTTTGTTCTCTCTCTCTTCCTCCTCCTCCCTCCCATGCACGCATGCACACCCACACACACACTCACACAAGCATCCTCCTCCTCCTCAAGTTGAATAGACACTTTTCTTCAGTAATGATGAAGTGGCTATACTCTGGATGTTAAATAATATTTTACTTCTTTTGTGTTATATGAATATTTCCTTGACATATATTTCTTCTAAACATGTACTTAATACTGTGGTTCTCAAACATTTGATCTTGGAAAAATTTTATATCCCTACAAAATTATGCATGGTCTTAAACAATTTTTGTTTGTATCAATTTTTATCTATTGATAGTTACTATATTTGATTTACAATAGACAACTTAGAAATATTTACCCACCTAAAATAATCAGGGTACATCTATTACATATTAACATAAACATTTTAATAGAGGAAATAGTTTTCAAAACAATAAAGGACTCAATAAGAAGAATTGGCACTTGCATTTTTTTGCAATTCTCTTTTAAGTCTGGCTTAATGGAAGACAGCTGCTCTGCATTTAGCCTATTGTAAGATCAGTGTCTCTGGAAAGCTCAACCATACAACTGATTAGAACGTTCAAGTGTAAAGGCAAAATGATCCTAGGGTTAGTATGAGACTAGCTTTTCATCTTGCTGACTGTTAAAAGCCCTATTTTAGCACACATCACAGTGTGCTTCCTTTCTAAGGAAAACGAAAACCAGAAAAGTCCATATCAAATTAAAACTGAACCACGGGGTCACCCTGGACAAGAATCTACAGAGCTATAGGCAACTATGACTGTTGAGAGAGGGGGAGTTAGCCTATCCCAGGGATGGCCCCACTAATTGGCTGTCCATTACAAAGTGATTATCCTTGAAACCATATACACACAAACAACAAAAGACAGACTCGGCACGTTGGGCTTAGATATCCATGATACTTCTACATATAAGTAACAATAATAATCCAGGATGAAGAGGCTATCAATTTGAGACTAAATAGGTGAATAAGGAAGGAGTTGGATGGAGAGGACTTGAGGGGGCTGGAGGGAGGAAAGGGAAGGGAAAGAGGGAAAGTGGTATAATTGTATTTTCGTCAAAAGTGTATAAAAATAAAGTGAACATGAGCCAAACCTTTAGAAAACTCTTACTGGCTGACTTTAGTCAATTTAAGCAATTCTCTCCCACTCCCCTCTCTTCTTTCTCTGTGATAACTATGATTCAAGAGAGCACTGTTCAACACTACACATTGAGGAGAAACATAACCCAGGATCAAGGTCAGTCTGTTTCACTTTGGTGTGACTGATAAGTTCCTGCAAGCTCTCCTCATCTCTGCGCTGGGATGCCTGCTCTAAGCTTTTCCCCATCATTTGTAAGAAGACTGAGAGCAACCACATTATCAACAACGACAATGCCTAATGGCCATGTGCTAAGAGTCAAAAAACATGAAAACGTTTTATATGCGCCTTCTGTTTAATTCTCTGTGCGTTCCAAGAAAGACACTGGCTTCACTTTACTGAAGGGGGCTGAAGGTTGGAGAAGAAAAGCCTCTGGCCTCTAACTCTGTTCCTTGTACACTTACCCTGTCTTAGCTCCTGACTCAGATGGTTCATTGCTGCTCAAGGGGAACCATTGACACCAAAGGTCACAAAGGTGGTATTCCTCCCACCTGTCAACCAAAGCCCGCCTTCTAAAGAATCGTAATGGAGCAATCTTCCTGGCTTCATGATACTTGCCGTTACTTGAACCCCAGTTCTAAAAGCACCGGGAAGTTTCCGAGTGTCTGAGCTCGCCTAAGTCTGCAACGAAAAGAAACGGGTGCGGATACACACACTGAGCGTCTCTGTCTGGAGTGGAGATTCCGCCTTCCCGACTGAGGCCGGAACCTTTCTCCACTCGCCGCGGTACGCAGGCGGAGTGCGGAACCTTTCTTCTCCGCATATAGTTCCCGGGAGGAGGCGTGCGAAAACGGAACGTCCCCTCAGCGACCCGGTTCTTGCCGGGGTCGCCTGCTGCTGACGTGTACCGACCGGCTTCTTGCCGCGGTGTGGGTCACCATGGCGGTGGACATCACACTCCTCTTCCGGGCAAGTGTCAAGACGGTGAAGACACGGAACAAGGCTCTTGGAGTGGCGGTGGGTGGCGGGGCCGATGGCAGCCGGGATGAGCTGTTCCGCCGAAGCCCTCGACCCAAGGGAGACTTCTCCAGCCGGGCCCGTGAAGTGGTAAGCTGGTTGCTATGGAAACGGCGAGCTTGAGATGGGGGCGGATCCTCACCCGGGACCCTGGACCCCAAACTAGGCCCAACCTTGTAAGCCCTCAGTGAAGAGAGGGAGTCTTTAGTGAGACAGAAGAGTCGGTCTCACGGAGCCGACAGCTGGTTAGAGACGGCGACAGGTTTATTCTAAGAAAGAGGGACGCATATCCGAGCACTGTAGGAAGCAAGACTTGCAGAGGTACTTGGTTAGTCGTGTTATAGAAAGTTTTGAGGCAGTGTCTTTGCCGTCACTGTTGACTTGAGTGCCAGTGAGAAGTTCCCACAGTCCTTACGCTTCCGGTCGCGACGTTCACCTCTCTATCTTTGCCCCTTTCATGTACATATTTGGGCCTCTTCTTGCGCATAGGGTTTAAAATCCACCATCAGCTGAATTCTCTTTTATCCTTTCCTCTGGTAGTAGGTAGTACTCAGTACTTCCTGAGACTGGTTTAGGATAATCTTTCACCAACACCTAGTGTCACTGTCCCCAAACTGCGTTCTGTACCCTGAACACAACTGGCTTTCATTTGTCGCCAAAGTAGGGACTTTCTTCTCAAGGGTAGGAACGTTGGGTTCATAAGCGTTGACATTATCTCTGCATGTGTGACTAACAACATTGCTTAGTAAATGCTCCTTGAAAGAATAATGAACAAATAGTTGACCGTTGCCTCCACTAAACAGGAAAAAGAAGAAAGATGGTGTTTGTGTTATATCTAAGATGCTAAGGGTGGGTGTTTTTGTGGCACCGTAGGCATATACAGTCTGTTTGCCCCCTTTTAAGAAACGCACACTAAAGTCCAAAGAATTGAAAGGCACTTACCAGTCAGGAACAAATATGATCAAAACACATCGCATGGAATTTTTGATGAATAAACTAATATATTCTCTTGAAAAGAGACCAGCATGCATAAAGGCATGAGGTAGTGCCAGCTTGACTTAAGTTAGTTTGATGAACATAAGAATGTGGGATACTCAGAAAATAAGAGTGGTGTGGCAGCCTGAAGGAGATCTAGAAGGACTTGGAGATCACTGTTCAGAGTTTGAACTTTGCCTTTTAGACACTCCAATATCATGTGGACAGTGAAGTTCTGAAGACTCAGGAAACCACATGGTTATCTTGACCATGTTAACTGTTAGCTAGACTTATTCTAGGTTTATTTACCTACAAAATGGTCTCTTTTTATTTGAAACAGACTTTTAAGCTCCATTGGCACTGGGCAGTGGTGGCACATGCCTTTAATTCCAGCACTCAAGAAGCAGGGGCAGGTGGATCTGGATCTCTGGAGGCCTGCCTGGTTTACAGAGTGAGTTCCAGGATAGCCAGGGCTACACAGAGAAACCCTAGCTCAAAAGCAACAAACAGAATAAAAAAAAAAACCGCAACAACAGCAGCAGCAACAACAACTCCATTGGCTCCATCATATATATCCTATATCACATCTCCTACTATTGCATGTATCACAGTGAAGGGGGCATGTCTCAGGTGAAGTGAGAGGAAGGGAGAATAGGTGTCCTCACCTCTCTACCCTGAGTCTGGCCAAGCTGTTGCGAAGGTTGCTCTCATACAGAGTGTGGACATCACAGTTTTGATGCGTGAAGGTCCTTCCTGAAATCAGTGGTTTATTAACACTGCACAGATTTTTCAGTCCTCAGGAATAGGAGATTTGGAAACAGCAGAGTTAAGAAGCACTGTTTGGCTATGTTCCTTCCGTGGGGAGGGAGCCCTGGTATCAGCTGGACTGCTCTCCAAGTGCCAAAAATACATTTTCAACTCTTTTCATTTAAGATCCTTAGAGATGGGATTCTTCAAAGGTTCAGGCAATCCGAGTGGTGGGAAGACAGCAGCACTAGCACGTCTGAGTTTGAAGGGAAGTATCAGCAACGGCAAACACGTCAAACCTATGCATGTATTCTCCCATGCTGCCTCTGACCAGAGAAGCCAGCACTCATTTCCCAGTAGGTTCTGTGGCTCAGAACCCCTCAACACTGTGCCCTCAGAGCCATTACCAACTGCTGGGCTTTACATTAAGTTGAAATCTCCTTGATATCCTCCCCAGCAATTGATTAAAAATTGATTGCATACCTAAGCAGAACTTAGACTGTTGAAATAGGAGCGGCGGGGCTGCGTCCCCAACACCCCGGCCGCTTGGCTAGCTCATGCCCGAAATAACAACACACAAACTGTATTCATTTAAGAACTGCTTGGCCCATGAACTCTAGCCCTTACAGGCTAATTCTCGCACCTGGACTAGCCCATTTCTAGTAATGTGTGTAAGCACCCCAAGGTGCGCTTACCGGGAAGATTCTAGCCTAAGTCCATCGTGGGTTGCAGCTGCCTGGGAGAGCAGAGCATGGCGGCGGTCCGGTCCCTCTGGAAGCAGTGCAGAGTCTGACCTCACTTCCTCTTCCGCCCAGAATTCTATTCTGTTTATTCCGCCCACCTATCTTTTAACCTATCAGGGCCAGCAGTTTCTTTATTGCTCAGCCAATGAAATCAACAGATTGATATGACACTCCCACATCATTAGACTTTTTAGAACAGACTTTTAAAGGGTCTGGAATTCATCTTTTTCAGACTAGTTATTTTTATAGGTGGGAAGACAACACTCAGACAAATGCAGTGACTGGCTCCAAGTGTTTGCAGCTGGGGACATGTACTAGAGCCGGAGGTAGAAGCCAACCCTCCTTTGCTATTTCAATGTTTTTCTCCCTCTGTTTTTGTATCTTAAATATCCACCTAAATCTTTAAAAACAATTGTGTGTGTGTGTGTGTGTGTGTGTGTGTGCGCGTGCGCGCGCGCGCGCGCGCGCGCCTCTTTGGGTGCCATGTACATTGGTGTGCCTTCGGGAGGCCAGAAGAGGACGTCAGATCTCCTGTAGCTAGAGTTGGAGGTGGTTGTAAGCCGACTGGACTTGGATACTAGGACCTGAGCTTGCAAGAGCAGTGAGCACTCCTAATCACTGAATCATCACTCACTCCCCCCAATAATTTTAAACAAACTTGTTCGACTTTTCAGTGCCAAAGAGTTTCTTCTTCTTGAGCTCATAGTGCATGAGGCTTGGATTTGAATCTCTTTCTAGCTGTGTGAAGTCAGGAAGTTACTTAACTTCAGTTCCCCTTTTTCTAAGAATGATAGCCACTTCAGAAGATCACTTGACTGATGAAATGAGAGATGGTGTGCAAGTGCCTGGAAGAGTCTAAATTCTTTGGTTACAAGTAATAGTAATTTATGAACCACCCAGAGCAAAATATGTGTATTGGCTCACATAACTAATGGATTGGCATGTCTTTCTGTAGCTCCCATCTATAAAACCCCAGGGGTGGACCTGTTTCTACTTGGACCCCAAAGCCTTTGTTGTGATCTTAGGAATAAGGTTCTTTAGTTGGCTAGGCCATATGTCCGTTCCAGTTTGTGACCAGTAGGTGGCTAGAATATTATGATTATAGCCCCACCAGAGCCTTAGAAAGGGAGTGCTGTGTTCAGGAGTGGGGGCAAAGGGTGGTGGGCAAATACATATCTCATGGTGCCTGACACACCTGACATTACTGAGCACATTGTGTTACTATCTCTTACTATCTATAGGATAGATACTTCCTCCTTACCTGCTTGTTGTCTTGAAGGACTTTGGGAATGGGCTGGGTCCGGAGATGCCATGTGGTGGCAGCTCTTCTTCCTTGTTAACTTACAGAGGTTTCAGAGACCAAGAGAGCTACCACACAGTTACCTAGAGCCTGGAGAGGAGTTCAGTTGCATATCCAGAGCAGCGGGGGCTCCTGAGTAGCATGGAATAGGAAGCCAGGAAAGCTCAAAGTTAACACTAGGTCTACCAGGAAGTCACTGCAACTTCTCGGTCCCAGTTACCACAGTAACAAGACTGAGAGCTCAGACTAGATAATCATGAGAACCTCTGATAAATCATAGATCTTAGTGATTTTGAGTTGTTGAGAATCCCCCCCCCCCATACCCAGAGTAGGTAAACAGTGAAGTTTTGGGATTTTTTTTTCTTATTATATCGTGATTTTGTGAAAGTTGAATATTTTTTGTTTTACTGTTCATCTATCCATCCTTAAGAATTCATTAGCAGGGCTAGAGACATGGCTCAGCGGTTAAGAGCGTTACCTGCTCTTGCAAAGGACCTAAGTTCAATTCCCATCAACCACATGGTGGCTCACAAACTATCTGTAATGAGGTCTGGTGCCCTCTTCTGGCCTGCAGGCACACACACAGACAGAATATTGTCTACATAATAAATAAATAAATATTAAAAAAAGAATTCATTAGCTTTAGCTTTAGTTCTTGGCTGAAATACAAAGTTCTTTTAAACATGTTTTACTAATTTGTGTGTGTGAGCGTATGCACGTGCACACGTGTAGAGTTCTGAAGTGGGTGTCAGTTCCCCAGGACTGAGTTACATGTGTGTGAGAGCTGCCTGGTGTGGGTGTTGGGAACCAAATTCAGGTCCTCCGAATGAACAGCAAGTGCTTTTAACTGCTAAGCCATCTCTGTAACCCCTTTAGGTTTTTTCTTTTTCTTATTTTATTTTTTAAAAAGGAAACAAACTATCTTTTTTCATTTTGCATATCAATCCCAGTTCCCACTCCTTCCCCTTCTTCTATTCCTTCCACCTGTCCCCCCCACTCCACCCTCCCATCCAGTCCTCAGATTGGGTAAGGCACATTGCTTTGGGGGAAA